ATTAGTGTCTAAGTCCAAAATATTTTGGTATGTACTTGACCCGATGGTGCATGGTCCTTTTGGGTTGCCTTCACCAAAGCAACTTGACAAGATGAATTATGGACAGAGAGGATTAATTATGATTTATTAATATATTAGGAGAATAATATATTAAAGGAGAAATCATATTGTTTGATTAATATCAGTCAAGAATTAATTGATAATTAATTTTGTGGCTAAAAGAGAGTAATTAAACTTAAGGGACTGGAACTGTAATTATAAGATAATTGCATTTGGGCTATGGATTACTTAATAAAATATAAGTTGGACGCATTCTTTAGGGAAGCCCATTAGAAATCGTTCAAGGGATATACCAAAGGAATCTATGGGCTGCTTAGGGCTTAAGCAGTCAGATTAGGGTTTCCTAGTTTAAAACCCTAATAGCCTACATGTATATATAGTACCCTTAAGCCCCAAAAATGTGGATAAGAGTTTCCTTAAGGTTTCCACACGTTTTTGGGTGCCTCCTCTCTTATCATTCTTCATCCTCTTACTCTTGGTGTTTGTGAGCCATTAGAGGAGTCACACTTGTGACTCTAAGCTTTCTAAAGCCATTACAAGGAGGATTTGAATTGTTATTACTATATAACAACAAAAGGTATGTATTCTAATCTTCTTGGTGAATTTCAAAAATAGTATGACTCATTAGGGTTTTATTATGTGTTCATAATGTTGTGTAACTAATAGTAAAACATAGATCAAATTCTAGGGTTGCATGCAAACATAGGATTGTTTGTATAAAACCCATCAGTGGTATCAGAGCCATTGGTTTTTGTTTTCTATTAGCTTTTATTCAAATGTATTAACTTCACAAATTAGGTTTTATAGCCAATAAACCCTAGGAGGCTATAGATTTTGAGATTAGGGTTTCCTAACCCTAATTTGCGAAAATATCATGAAAAGATTTTATGAATCCTTTCCATTAGTCCAAGAGTTCGAAATCTAGGGTTTTCAAACCCTTAGATTTCGAGATTACCCTCCTTCCCCAAGATAAGATCCTAAATTTTAGGAGTTTGGATAATCCCATATCTTGTAATTATCTTTTAATTGTTAAATATGGTAATTATAGATCTTGAATTATCCCATACCTTATTTTCGAAATCTATGTATAAGTTTAAGGGATTAGGATATCGTAAATGTATAAATGGTAATTATCCTCATGATTTAGATAATCCCTTATGTTCTAATAATTAAAATTAATAGTCTAATTCAAGATAATTATTAAATCAAGAGTTTTAATATCTAAAATTTTAATTTAAATGTCTTAAATTCGAAAATTTTAAGTGAGATTAAAACCTAATTGTTTTGAAAAGTTTCAAAACTCGCCCTTACGTTTTGGAATTTAAACTGTTGATTAAAAGTTAATTTTGAAAGTCTAAATTCCAAAATCCTACTTTTGAAAGGTTCAACTTGCACCCTTATGATTTTATTAAATTAATTAAGTGTATAATTAAAAGAAAGTTAATAAATCCATAATGATTTTGGTTAATTAAAAGTATAATTTAAACCACCTAGTATTTTAAAAGTGTAAAATACACCCTTATACTATGTATAACATTAAAAGTTTAATATTATATATGTATAACTAAAGTGTTAGTCTTACCGTTAGTAGGCCTCATTAACGAAGCCGATCTATAAGGGGGTATAAGGTTATGGCTTATAAAATGGCCGTTTAATGGGTGTCCACTCTCACCCACCACTTCCTTGATTGGTGGAGGGTCGTTAGCCGAACGGGTAGGATAGGGAAAACCCTTTCCATTAAAAGTATAATGAAGTATAAAGTAACTAAAAAAGTTTTACAAAATTCCCAATCTTATTTAGTTTAGGCAAAAGTGAATTGATGCAATTCCATGAAATTATACTTTGTGCCCTTGCGAAGACGTTAGTGGAGCGTGTGTGGTTAACCGACACACTAAATGGTTCTAAACAAAGGTATCAAAGGGTGACTCGATGTTTGTCATAGTTCGGTGGAGCGTGTGTGGTTAACCGGCGCATCGAATAGGTGACTGTAACATGTGGGGGCACCATGTAAGTTTACATGGTTATTCACACCCGCTTTGTGATCCTCGGTATTCCAGTCACAAACTAGAGGGGCATATCGATATTTAAACATGCCATTGAAATGTTTAATGAATCTCAAAGGATCTAGGAGTTTTCATAGATTTAAAACTTAAATTTCTTTTTCGTTTTCATGGTGGAAATTGGTAAATCATCATTTACCTACCTTCAAATATTCTGCAACTAGATTACGACATCCCTTTTCTAGGTTGTAGCGTATTGTGTTGGGTCCTAGCCTTAATATCTCATTTGGGTGATTTATTAAGGACTAGATCAATCAACTAACTTGAATTTAGTTTCTCCCGTTTTGTAGATGTCAAAGTACGACAACTATGGTATTCCCAAATCCCGTGGAACAAGCTTTCCACATGAAGATGATATTTCACGATTCGATCGAGGAACAAGAGATCATGCTTCACTTCCTCCACCTCCTCCACCTATTCTCCCTAACCCACAAGTTCGAAGGCTTGAAAAGTTCAAGCTCACTCAAGCCCTTTTGGCAAGTAAACATGGGAAACCTGTGTGTGTACACGTCTTAGATATGAAGTCACACATTGAAAGGTTAAGGATGTAGGGTGTCGAGATTTCAGGTAAGTTGGCTGTTGACTGGGTTCTTCAGTCGCTTGCTGAATCATATAGTGAGTTCGCAAGAGAGTACTATATGATGGATCATGACGTGAGCCTCATTGATTTGACCTATTTGCTTATAACTGATGAATCAGAAATGATTTGGCAAGCTGGTCGAGAAAATTTGTCTGGTAAATCAAACTCCCAAACTTCAATGGATATTGAAAATGGTGACATTGGAGATCCAGAAGAGGTAGATTCTGAGATAGTTACATGTGCCATTCCAAAGGAATCCATTTGCTTTTATTGCCAAGAGAAGGGACATTGGAGACGAAGCTGCCTTATTTACCTAAGAGATCTAAGAGATGGGAGAGTCAAAACATATGGCTCTAATTTAGGTAAAATTCATTAACTAACTCTTTTAAGTTCCTATTCTATATTCTTAATACATGATGTGATAAGATTACATTTGATGTTTTGTAGTATCGAAGAAAAGAGAGGAAGCTTAAGGGAAGAAGTGAGCGGAATCTAATCGTGAAGAAATGGTTTTCGATCGCATTACTTGAAGATTAGATTCTTGAACTACTACTTAGAGTTAGAATAAGAGTGTTAAGAAATATGTATTAGCATAGTTTTTCAATGAATTGCATTGTAAGGATAAATTTTTCCGCAATAATATAAATTTTTTAATTTATAATATTTATTTATCCTTGCGATGGTGTGTATGAAAAATTGATGTTTTGAATGTTTCTATTATTAACAATAATGGATTTGATTCTTAATTATGTGGAAATGTCGAGAATTTACCAAATACAAAGAGTTTCTCATTACCCAAGTTTCAATTGGATAGAAACTTTGAATCATGCAACTTGGTTGCATGATGAATGAGAAATTTCATATTTGCAAATTAGACTAATTCTTTGACAAAGTGCCAAGTGAAGGACTAGGAGATCGAGTACACAAAGTTGTGTGTTGATCAAGTCCACCAAAAGAGTAACAAAGATATTCGTCATGATTTACTAAAGGTTTAGTATATATGGTTATACTTATAAGATTAAGTGTAATTATGAACTGATTGAAAGAGTTTAAATCAATAGCATAGTGAATAAGAAGAATCAAGTAGGCAGAAAGATAAAAGTTTCTCTATTCTAAGAAGAAGGGAGAGTACCTTTTATTATGTTTTATGATAGGTCTTAATGATTAAGAACCATATCTCAATTGATCCTCTAAGTAAGTCTTAGTACAATTGTATGTCTGATAAGAGGAATCAAGAATTAAAGAAATGGTTAAATCAAGAAGTCAATCATAATTCGTTCCAAAACAAGTCTTAGAGCTAAGATTGTGACATTGAGTGACAAGTCTTAAGAAGGTTTATAACATTCACCAAATGTGGAATGTTGTGATGTCTTGGATAAGACAAAGACCAACTAGGACCAATTTTGTGAAGTGTTTTGTCTTGATAAAAGCTACACTAACTCTTGAATATTTGTTTATCGAGAAATGTTTATTGACAAGAGAATCTTATATGTCAAGGAGTCAGTGGGAGTCTTAATGGTCTTGAAAGGTTTCAAGAACAAATAAAGAATAAACCTTATCCATCATCACTAGCACACGACTTGAGGATTATAACCAATCGTGTTGACGTTATTTTGTTTCTGTGCCATTCCAATTGAGTTAATTATGCATGTGAGTTCTATGAGTTCTCATTTGAACGCATAAAAGGAAAGAACCTTGGTCAATGAAAAGTACATTGATAGGAAAGGGTGAGCTGCTTAACTACTTGGAAGACATGGTTGGCACTCGTGTTACCATAAGGCAAGAAATCAAGATTAATAGTTCACACTACTAGAAAAAAGGCCTTTTACGACGCGCAAAACACGACTCTCTTTGATTTATGTTACGCATTAGAGTGCGACATTAAAAAAGTGTCATCTCTTCAAAAATTTTAAGGATTTAGGTCGTGCATTACTGAGTGCCCTTAAATTAGTGTCTCATGTAAAAATATTAAAAACACGGAGGGCACCTATAATAAAACGGGTGTCCTCTACAAATGTCGCTTTATAATTTTAATAAACGCGCGTTTCTGGGACTCCTTGATAGGTAAGGGGGAAACTAAATCCCCCAAAATTTTGAACACCCGATTTCTCTTCCTCTCTACTCTCTACACCCGCCAAAATCGACTTCATTCTCTCCCTTCTTTCTCTCTGCAAACCCCTTCCTCTCCGATCGACTTTCACTTCCTTCTATGTGCAAACCCTAATCAAACATAACATATTTGAAATAGTAATATCTTCTTTCACAAAATAGAAGATTGATCGAAGAATGATTTTCTTTTGATGAATCGGACATCACCAACAACAATAGCTTCAATCACAATTTGTGTTTGCTTTCAGACTCCACCGTTACAACATCGCACCACAACACCAGCCCTGAGCCACCACCACACTGCCTTCGCAACAGCCCAGAACCACCACTATACCACCATTGTTGCCTATTTCATCTGCGTAGTAGGCCTATTTCAAAGGTAATTCTTCCTTTTTCAACCATAGTTACCTGTTTCATGTCCTACTGGTCCTTCTTTTTGGACGATTTTTTGAGCCTTTTTACCCTCTCTCATATATTTTCATGGAATTGTTAATATTTTATGATATAAGTACCTGATTTTTTTATGCACACTAGGTGTTTGACTAAATGTTTGAACCAAAAGGGGATTGTCCAAAGATTAATGAACAAGGTTCAAAGCAACCTGCCACAGTGACAACCTCACAGGTAAATAAAAATTTATGTATTCCTATTAGATTCAATTTACTATTATTATACATACACATGAGTAGTAATCAGCCAATTGTGTTTTGATAATGATAAAAAAATCAATTTAGTGTTTAGGAGTTGGAATTTAATTTATGTAATAGGAATTGAATCTCATTTACTTACAATTTCTAAACTGATTTGATTCCCTTTACTATCTCAATATGAGAATCCAGCAATACGGTCACAACTGTGATCTGTTACTGTAGAGTTGCTAACTAAAACCTGTGTCCAAACTCTAGAAGGTCACACACACAATGTTTCTGCTGTATGTTTCCATCCCGAGCTTCCAATAATAATGACAGGTTCAAAAGATGGTACTGTCCGTATATGGCATTCAACCACTTACAGGTGAGCTCTTGTTTTTTTACCATTAAGGTTGTGTTTTTTTTGTAGATTCTAAAGAATTGGAATGCTAGATTCCATGTTTGATGGATGGAAGGAATTCAATTTCTTTCTTCATTTGCTATCAAAAGACCAAAATACCCTCGTTATACATATGTTAAAAATGTAAACTTTTTGACTTTATGCCACTCTTTTTTTTTTATTCAGACTTGAGAACACCTTGAACTATGGACTTGAAAGGGTTTGGGCTATTGGATACATGGAAGGTTCACGTCGGTAAGTTTGTATAGCACTTTTTGTTTTTTGTTTTGTGGGTCTTGAATCTTGATGCTTCTTCATTCATCTGGATTTATTTTAGTTACTGTTTTTACAGGATTGTTATTAGCTATGATGAAGGAACCATAATGGTGAAAATTGGATGTGAAGAGCCTGTAGCCAGCATGGACAATAGTGGAAAAATTATATGGGCTAAACATAATGAAATTCAAACTATTAACATCAAGAGTGTGGGAACTGATCATGAGGTTTGGACTTTAAAGCCCATATACATGTTATGTTATGTTAACAATGAAATGGGAAAAAAATCTATTTTTTATTCAGGTTTCTGATGGAGAGAGGCTGCCTTTAGCAGTTAAAGAACTGGGAACATGTGATCTTTATCCACAAGTGAGTTATGCTTGTTCCTACCTTCCTTTAAACTGAAAATAGTCAACCATATGGACTTTGACTTTTCTATTTTTCCACAGAGCTTGAAGCACAACCCAAATAGGAGGTATGTTGTTGTCTGTGGTGATGGTGAATACATCATATACACAGCTTTGGCATGAAGTACTGGTTGGTAAAAAATTTGTGGGGTGCTAGAAAGTATCACCCGAAAAACGATGGGCCAAAGGTAATATCTGTTGTTATATTGACTATTTTGTCCTTATTGTTTTTTATGGATCTGATTTTTTTTTTTACAATTACAGGTTTTGTTTTTTAGTGATGATGAAGAGACTACCAGCACACCAAAAGCAGATGCTCTTTTTATTCCAAGGGAGAATCCAAGAGCTCTGGTTATTCGCCCTCTTAAACAATGGCCTGGCAAATCATCTGCTGAAAAATTAAAAAACGCATCTTCTCCAGCACAAACAAACGGTAAACTAATTTTCTGCTGCTACCTTAAAAATAAAAATAATCATTTTTTATCTCATTTTTTTTATTTGAATTCAGGTGATTACACTGGGTTTGCTTCTTCCCCTCCTTTAAATGGTCGCTCTACGGAAAACGGTAACAGTAAGATCATTTCTTTTACTGCAATTTGAATATTTGGAACTCAATTCCATACTAATATCAAAATCTTTGATTACAGGAAACCATTCTGAAAACGGAACCCTAAAGGAACAAACACCAATCAAAACCCCCCAAAAACAAAACGGAGGATGTGATGGTGGCGAGATGGAAGATGGCTTTGAGTTTATCGTTAAAAACAAAGGCATCAACACTGAGGTGGCTTACCCATATTAGGCAACAGATGCAACCTGCAACACCAAGGAAGAAGCTGTCCATGCTGCCACCATTACTGGGTATGAAAAAGTGCCAGCCAACAGTGAATCCGCATTGTTACAGGCAGTCGCTAATCAACCCGTATCAGTTGCCATTGATGCCAGTGGCATGGGTTTCCAGTTCTATTCAGGTGGTGTGTTTACTGGGGATTTTGGAACTGATCTTGACCATGGTGTTACAAGCTTGTTGAATCAAATGGAGTTATATGTGGTTGTGTATATACTTGCAATCTTAGTCTTGGATAGTCTACCAGGAATCATGCTGGATCAAGGCAGCTGTATTGATACTTGTTGTACTTTTTGGAGGAAGGTAATTAAACTTTATTATTATTATTATTACTATTAATTACAAGTGTAACATGTTTTAAGTAAATTTTCATTCCTTCTACAGCCCTATTACAAATGATACATAGCTCTGCAGTTCTTTAAGTTGTCACTAGAAGAATCATCAAAGGATCCATTATATCTTTTGAGGGACATGTCCAATAACGATAACAAAAACTAAAATCAAGTAAAAATGTTTGCTAAAATGCTTGTAATTTTATTATATATTTGGCTTATATATGGATGCCATGGGATACAAAAGGGGACATTTTGTTTTAATTGCAAAAATAATCATTTCTGCACTAGGCTACTTGATGCTGGGAACTTTTATTTATGTGCTTATCGTTGATGGATCTACATTCAATGCCAATTTATTATCAAGGTACCATTTAAAATTTCCCTTTTATTTAATTTATGTAAAAAGTGTAATTGTAAATGCTCATACATAGTTGTAAATGCTCACAGGTGCATGATAGCAACAACAACCGATTTGTATTTTTGTATTGTCATTGTAGCAGTAAGTCTTTGTTTATTATATACTTTCCAACTATAGTGAAAAGGAGATTTTTCGACTTTTGTTATAACAATAATGTTTGATTGCTTCTTTTGATCAGGTGTGGATTGCATATAAGGAATCAACGTGGATAAGTGCTTTCTTTTGGATACTTTCACTTCTATCTTTTTGGAGGGTAAGCATATATAGAAACTAGCTCACTTTCCTTTTTTCACTCTCTTAATTATATAACTATATATGGGATGCTGTTTGGATTTACAACTGAAGGAATCATGGTATATTTCCAGGACCTTGAAATCATTTACATTGTCTTATTTTCTCAAAATATTAATTGTTTATGTTGCTTCCAAATACAAGGTATGAAAAGCTGCAACGGTGGGATGATGCCCTTAAAGCATACACTGCAAAATCTGCTCAAGCAACAAGTCAACAAGGTATGAAAACCTGCAACGGTGGGATGATGCCATGGTGTTATAGTATTTATATTATTATCATTTCAAGGTAATTAATTAAAGTATTTGTTCATTCTTATGACGAATGAGGAGTCAGTGACAGATGGGTATATATTATATAATCAAAACACTATAATTATAAATATTTTTTTTTTACTATAAATAAATTATTTGAGTTAAAATGACATGAATGATTTCAGGTAAATGGGGATGGTAATTCTAAAAATGGCTCCCATATATGTGAACAATATCCATTTTCAGTAAATGAGAAGGTTGTTATTTTTATTTATTTCACTTTTGTTTTCTATGTGAAGATATACTGACAAAAAATACATTACATGACATGATATGTTGGTTGAGTAGCTTTACGTGTTCTAATGGGTGGTGTTAGATGGAATTGTGATGATATACTCTCTAGTTTATATGATCAAAGATTGTCATTGTGAATATCATTGTTGATAGCTTTACAGATAATATTTACCATTTGTATGTGGGTATTCTTGTCATTGTGTTTGTCATTGTTGATATTAGGTAATTCATATTGTAGTGTATTTATTCCAAATCCCAAATTCTTTGGATGGAGAAAAGGGTAATTTCGTCTATTACAAGTAACATTCCAAGTTTGATTCTTCTAATAATTGTATTAACATATTAATTTTTTGACTTTTATTTGATCAGGTCACAAGAATTATCGGAGCAGGGGTTCAATATTAGTCTTAAAGAAGTATGAAAGGCAAGATTCAACTCTACTTAGTTGGAATTTGATGTTTATCATCTTTGTGTATATCTTTTTAGTTTGTATAGCATTACATTCCATAAGGAGTCCCTTAATAGCAATTTAGTATTATGTTATATATTTAGGGAAGACCTCTTAATAACAATGTACAATTAGATCCCCTTCATATAAATGTATTACAATTTTTTGACATGATGTTTTTGGTATATATTTTTTTACATATGGAATGATTATTTGTATGACATTAAATTTATGCAATGGATTCTATTTTTGTATATGATATTTTATTATCTATTATTAAACATTAAATACAAATTTAATTTGAAAATAAGCAAATCTATAAATAATATTTTTTTAAACATTTAAAATTATGATACACAAAAATGTGTGTCATCTTCATTTATGACATGGCCTTTCTTGACAGGGGCTTCCTTGATACACATTGCGTGTCATAAACACGCGCGTCATAAGGTTACGACACGCAAATGCGTGTCGTCTTCCTCTATGACAGGGCCTTCCTTGATACGCATTGCGTGTCATAACCGCGCGTCGTAAATGCGTGTCATAAATGCGCGTCGTAAATGCGCGTCGTCTCTCTTTATGACAGGGCCTTCCTTGACACGCATTTGCGCGTCGTCTGAGCGTTTTATGATGCGCAATGAGCGTTGTAAAAGGCCTTTTTTCTAGTAGTGTCAGTCCATATGTGTTTGGATTTGTCGCAAAGTTTGGATTTGACAAATTCACATGGATAGGAACACATACAACATTAAAATCTAAGTGTCATAAGATTCCCTCCTTCATGAAAATGAGTGTGAGGAAACCCTCTCACTAAGAGAGATTTTAAGAAGATAATGATTGTGAAAATTGCATTCTTAAATTTGATTATGGTTACAGTATCCCTTTCCATGATTTGAATTGCGAGATTTGGCAATTAGTCTAAATTTTTTAGATACACATATGAGCTATCTATGGAAAACGTGTATAAGCTTAGATAAAGGATTATCAAAGAATTAGGTATTAGAAATATGAACTTAAGAAATTCAATAGGTATTGTTTTTTTGGAACTTAAGCTGTTTTCTCAATACATGTCAAAGCTAGTGGGAACGTAAGAGTTATGCTTATATGATAATAATCATCATGATACTAGGAGCATAAAAGTTGTGCTTGTATGATTATTATGGCAAATATTGCAAGTTAGCAATATTAATTATAGAAAACAAGAGTTATAGTTTTGAAAGTCTCAAGGGTTGAAAGGTTGTTTTGCAATAATTAAGGGAGAGAATAGTATCCTTCATTTCAAATCTAAAGGCTTAGGTTGTGGAATGTTAATAAATTTAGTCAAGGATACATAGTGCGTTCTCAAAATTTCGATTATGATTATGGCATCCCTCTTCATAATTTGAATTGTGAGAACGTGACACATTAAATATTATGGTAGAAGATTGATGAAGTATCGTATCTTTATGTAAGACATTATGCATCGTGTCCCATACGCTTCGGGTATAGGATCGATTGCAAGTGCTATAATATTTGACCATTCTAAAAATTTTCAAATGTCTAGCGCATTTAGAGGGAAAAGGGACAACAATCGGTTTTGACGAAGATAATTAAACAACTATCAAAGGACGATCCAATGCTTGTTGAGGATTGGTCGCTTGTGAATAGTTGGAAGTATGGTATTGGATGGAACATATCTACATTATTATGAATAGATAAGATTCTATTAAGAATGAGTTGTCATATGGCAAATATGGAAATGTTTCCATATTGGGAGTTGGATATTGAGAATATGTATCTAGATTAGAAACTATTATGCAAGAAAGGATGTTCAAAGGAATGTACTTTGAGTGAGAGACATCCTATCTATAGAATTGTTTCTTATAGAGATTGGCCAAGTCTTGATGATTTTGAGCTATGACTTTACGAAAGAATCATTGCATAAAATGTTAGAATCTAGCATAAGTAACAAGAATTTGATATTCTAACACTTGTGATAGGGATTGGGAGTTGTGAAATGAGCATGATTAGAAATGTGTTCATTTGATCTATTTGTGAAAGAAAGGACCACAGGTAAACATTGTGTGCATGCTAAGAGCATGGGACAAGTGTAGTAAAAATTCAAGTAAGAACTTGAGTACCCGAAACAACAAATAATGAGTAATCGATATGGTGATAAATAAAAGGTGTTTTATTTATACTCAAGGGTTTGGGACCATATAGGATTAGTATTATTCTTTTGTTTCACTTTGCATGTTTTGACTTCCTGAATAATTAACTATTTTAGAATAATCGAATTATTCGAATGGACCAAAATCGTTCATATGTTGGAAGTAGGTATGAATGAAGACTATCGTGAATTGGTGTGTGGATTGTCTAAAGTGTATTAGACATAAGAAAATGTTTGCTGCAACGTTCATGAGTGCTTATGACTATGATTTGAGCATTGGATTAAACCCACGCTCACTTGGATCACTTCATGGATTTTATCACGAGTGATTGGTGAGACGATAATATCTTATATTCTTGAAACCGAGATGTGTGAGTTGTATCTTGCGAGTCGGTTACACATTGATAATATGTAAACACACCAGTAACTTGGTGTCATAAAACATATTGTTGTGTGTGATTCGGTAAGTGAGTGCAAGCAAGCATTGAATCAAAGTTTATCCGTTCCTTTTATCCAAAGTAGAATGAAAGCGATATGTGTGGGCCCCTCGATGATTTAGTGATGACACCTAAGTGCTTGTCCAAGCCGGGACTAATTTGATGTGTTCAATTGTAGTCTGTTGTTAGTCTTCATAAATCGGAAATCGGGAAACAACAAAAAGATAGAGAGAATGATTTAAATCCATGTCTCAGTCTATACGATATCTAGAATGGAGGAATATATGATCGCTTATCTAAAGGACGTGCATTTGATAAGATCAGAGTTGACATCGGCTTTTGAAAGATACGATAGCAGATCAGGATCTGAAGTGATATGCAGAATAGTTATTAGACTTATCCAAGTGGGAGACTGTTGGATTAGTGTCTATATCCATAACTATTTTGGTATGTACTTGACCCGATGGTGCATGGTCCTTTTGGGTTGCCTTCACCAAAGCAACTTGACTGGATGAATTATGGAAAGAGAGGATTAATTATGATTTATTAATATATTAGGAGAATAATATATTAAATGAGAGATCATATTGTTTAATTAATATTAGTCAAGAATTAATTGATAATTAATTTTGTGGCTAAAAGAGATTAATTAAACTTAAGGGACTGGAACTATAATTATAAGATAATTGCTTTTGGGCTATGGATTACTTAATAAGATATAAGTTGGACGAATTCTATGGGGAAGCCCATTAGAAATCGTCCATGGGATATACCAAAGGAATCCATGGGCTGCTTAGGGCTTAAGCAGTCAGCTTAGGTTTTCCTAGTTTAAAACCCTAATAGCCTACATGTATATATACCAACCTTAAGCCCCAAAAACGTGGATAAGAGTTTCCTTAGGGTTTCCACACGTTTTTGGGTGCCTCCTCTCTTATTATTCTTCATCCTCTTGCTCTTGGTCTTTGTGAGCCATTAGAGGGGTGACACTTGTGACTCTAAGCTTTCTAAAGCCATTACAAGGAGGATTTGGGTTGTTATTACTACATAACAACAAAAGGTATGTATTCTAATCTTCTTGGTGAATTTCAAAAATAGTATGACTCATTAGGGTTTTATTATGTGTTCATAATGTTGTGTAACTAATAGTAAACACATAGATCCAATTCTAGGGTTTCATGCACACATAGGATTGTTTGTATAAAACCCATCAGCTTTCTGAAGCCAAGTAATTGATTGTTATTGCTATATAACAATCAAATGTTAGATTTAAACCCTATTTTATGTTAATATGATTAATTGTTTCCTAGATTTAGGGTTTATAGCTTTGGATATTCAATTGCATGTTCATTAGAAAAACTAGATCCAAAACCTATTAGGGTTTTCATGTACACGATAGGATTGATGTATTGCTCGATGCCCATCAAAATAATCATTTCCCTTCTGCTAGAAGTTACCCTATCCTTGCCATTTGGAAAGACATAGGAAAGAAGAGGAAGACTAAACCTCAATTGAACAAGAAGGGAAATGCCTAACCTAGATCGCCTCACAGTGGGTCAAATATAAAGCCCACTTCAAACATTCTTGTTGTTAGTGACCCCCAAGGAGGCCACTTGCTACTATTGTACTGAAAATAGCCTTTGGAAAATAATTTGCATTAAATACTTTCAAGACATCAAGGATGGTAAGGCCAAGCCGTCGTCGGCAGGCAGTGGTAGGAGATGGTGAAGAAATGGAGTATGGAAGAATATATCTAATCATGGGAAATATGTGATCTTCTCCTATCACCAAGATTGGAACTTATGGTCATATTCTTAGTATTGGTGTTAGGATAGATTTGATTAATTGTTTCTATTCGTCTGAATTCACAAGAAACATTTTTTTTTCTATTCATGCACTATTTAGATAAGGTTTTCAATATTCATTTAATGATATGAATGGTTCGATTTTGGTTTATAAGAATGGTGTTTTTTATGTTTGAAGCTTTACCGTATAATGTTGTGTATGAAACTATGATTCATGTTGATAGCTTAAGAAATAGTGTATTAAATATTGATTCATCTAATAGTGTAGACAAACCATTCTTGTGGCATTATCGTCTTGGAAAAATAACAATAAATGCATCACCTAACTCCAAAAGCATGGAGTTTTGGAATCATTTGACTTAAGGTCGGATGATGAATGTGAATCTTGTCTTTTGGGTAAGATGACAAAATCATCTTTCACTGGATCTTATGAAAGAAGTGAATGTTTGTTGGATCTCATACACATTGAAACATCCCAAAAATATGGTCCAAAATATCGTTTTTATATCATTAATAAAACCATAAATATCATCATCATATAAAAATCATAAAACATGTATCTCAAAAATATCATAACAACTATCAGTG